AGAATAGTAACTACTGATTCATTTAAACAAAAAGGGTGCAATTCCATAATTCTATAGTCCAAATCTGACTTGTATATTTGCACTGAAATGTCAGGCAAGACACTAAGCCACTGAATGAGCAGTTAGTGTGTTTGCACTCTGCCTTGACTTCTCCCCATTTCTCATACAGAGGCACTCTATCTTTCATATGTCCTGTCCCTCAGACCATGCTGCTGTTCTTTTTCTTTTTTCCCTCCATTGCTATCCCCTCAGAAATCTCAGATTCAAGGCTGAAGGAGACTGGGAGCCAACTTCTGCTCTCAGTTTTAAATCTGGGAATCATTGCCCTAGCTTCAAATTCATGCTGGTGCAGTGAACATGAGAATTTAGCTTTCTGCACTGTTGTCAACAGGGGGAAAATAGAGTCCCTATAAGGCTGTATCCATGGAAACCATCCTGCTGCAATAGCGAGTAAAGCAGCAAATCAATTTCTTCAGTTTTTAAATGAAACACATTATAGTGCATCTGGCATTTAAGAGATTATCCGTGCTGATAACAGTGTGGAAAAACCCTCCTCTAGCAAGTACACTGGCAAGAACGTTTCTTCCCCCTGATAGAATTCTGATTTTGGGAATGAGCATTGATGACAAAGTACCATTAAGACAGTGCAGTGAAACAGAGCTAAGTCCAGAAGCAACAGCATTTAATGAAGGAGAAAATTGTTTAATTTAGCATTTAGCCCAAGTATCTGGGCACATGGTGACTAACATTCAAGTGTATTAGCAGAGGCAGTGACCTGTCACCTCTGTCTCCCTGCTCTTTGTTTCCGTGGTACCACGAGTGACAAACACAACGTTTGTACCTTGTGATGCATTTGTCTGATCAGGAGTGTGTGTGTGCATGGCTGGTGGGCTGTCAGATGAGATTTCTATAGCCACTGCAACATGGTCTGGGTAACTGACTTAATACAGGTGTGTATTTCAGAGCCAGAGGCATTTCCAGTGCAGAAAATGTGCTGGCTGTCTCTGTGCTCTATTCTTGTTACATTTCATCATGTGCAGCTTGAGAGACCATCCCTTTACCATGCCATGGAGGGAGCATGGAAATAGGAGGATTTCTTACACCAGAGTTCAAAAGCTACCATACACTTTTCCTGCTGTGTGCATAGAGGTTCTACCTTTATTTTTCACCTGTTAAGGTATCTCTCTGACCATTTTGAGAAATAATACCCTACTTGAGCAGAAAACTGCCTATATGCAGATGAGACTTCATTCTGCTTTTCTGTTTTATCAAATCCAAATATTGCAGTCTGTCTTTGCTATGCCTATCAGATAGAGAAATTGTCTGCCAGGGAGAAATACAACCTTATTTAAGAGAGAGGGAGTGAGGCTGAGCCAGGAGGGAATAAAAAGCATTACAGGAATTGCCTAGACCGTGAGTAGCCCTTCAGTTGATGAGGATCAGATACACATTCCTCTGTCACTTTGCAGTGCCTAGGCTGTATTTTATCTGCTTCTGAATCTCAGCTCCTTGATAACAGCAATCACATATGCAATACTGTCTTCTTTTATCTACATCTGCTCTATCCTTTATATATTATATTATAGCAATCCCTGTTTGATTGACAGTTATGTATTTTTTTCTGACCTGAGGGCAAGCTTATTGCAATGCACTCCTTTCAGGGCTATCACTGAAACACATCCAAAATCTTCAACTGGTGCATAATGTGGCAGTTCAGCATTTGAATGAAATGAACACATATTGTTGGGGGCACAAGAGGTTTTGTTGCTCTGTCACATCTACCAGTTAATGGAAGATGCAGCTCAAACCCCATTAAGTGATAGAAATGGCTCAGTGGTCTGAAATGCTGCCATTTGCAGAGAGTGTTTTGTTCTACATGTGTCCAATAGCTATGACGTCCAGTGTTGTCTGTTTGGTCACTTCCAGGGGTTTTAAGAGGCAGGAAAAGATCTCCCAATACACTGCTTGAGGACTGTGCTTCCTTTCTGAAAATGAAGTTTCCTGATGAAAAACATATGGTTGAAAATCACAAATTTCTGCAGCTTTTTTTCTATGATCCATGAATGTACAGATCTAGGAATCCTCTCTGTATACAGGGGTTGGACTGTGTTCACTTTTAAGTCCAATAGATATTAGATATTGAAGAATTAAAATTATACTTTTAATTGCATTTTTTATCTGTAATTATCACTTTCTATATAAGCCCTCAATATTGCCATATGAGAAAGCCTGGAGTTCCTGGTGAGCTCAGACACAAGACATTTGCAGATTTCTCTCTAAAAGGCCAGGGAAAGGAGAACTGGAAGAGGAGCTGTGACTGACATTTCTTGTATCATTCTTCATCACAGTCCTGCGTCTGTGTTTGTCAGGGCAGCAAAGCCCAAAAGACCAGGCATGGCCCAGGGGAAACCTGCACAACTTTTGGAGCAGAGAGATTGGGCTTGTTTGTCACTGTGGGTCCTGGGATATGTTGAGATGGGCTGACAAAACCTGGAGATTTTAATGGCTTTTGATAAGGGCTTTTCCTCTGCCCTCCAACAAATGGCAAGAAAGGTGACTTTCTTCCCACCTCCTTCAGGTCAGACCTGGGAGTCCATGGCAGCCTCAGGGGCTGCATTTGTTCTGACAGAAGCCACCTCTGGATCTGTCACTTGTCTCACAGCTCCTAGGTGTGGCATTTTAGACCCTCTTTGTGTCTAAGCTCTCGCAGTTTGCACAGTCATGTCCAGCGTAGGAGTGTTTCCCAGGGCTGTCTGTCTCCATGGATTCAGAGGTGACACTGTGTTTGTACACTGCCTCTCCTGCTCTACCACCCCCACGACTGAGGCAAAGCTCCTGAGTCATCTTCACAAAGATTTAAAATTTCCGGCTAACCTGTAGGCCATCTGTTAATGTGGGCAGGCAAGAAAATATCACGTAGGAAAACTCAGTCACACACCAGTCTTTGTATCTGTCCCCACAGCCAGCTCCTTTAAATGACATTTTAACTATTGTCTAAATTATTTTTCCGTAAAAAAATTGCAACAAATGGCAACTTTGCCATTAAATATTCTCTTAAAATGAGCCCAGTCCTCAAAGTCACTTTATGAATATGAAAATCCCATCCATATTCTAAAATTTCATTTATTTTACTGTTTGACAAACCTTTATCAAAAGTCATCAGTTCCCTCTTGGAAAAAAATCTTGACTTGTCTTTTCTCTGAGACTCTGGTGGCAGCATGACCTGATCACATTCCTGCCATGGCAGGTATTATCAGTGCTGGCACGTGGTGGCACACAGCAGCTGCCACTTGATACAATGCAAAGAATGTGCCCCAGGTCCAGTAATGTCTACTTGTGTTATGTCTTGTGCAGTGTAAAGATACAGTCTGTTACCACTCCTGACAGTCACACAGCTCCCTTCTCAGTTTCTACCATTCCACTCCTCGAAATTATAATTCCTTTCCATTCCTAGTCTGCAAAGGCAGCAATATTCCTAGCAGTATCCTGTGGATTAATATTCACAGCAAAATAAAAATATCAGGCCAATGCATACATTGATCTGTTCTCCTAACCCCAAGCAGCTGTGTCTAGTCCTGGTTCCATACATATACTTGCTGTAAGCACAAACCTTGCCTCATCTGCACTCACTTTATAATTTCAGAAATATCTAAAAGAGATGAGTAGTTCTAAGGACTATGGTGTGTCCTTGGATGGCAAGTTCTGCTAAAAATTTTGGTGACACAACAAGGTGAGCTGCTAACCAGAAGAACCACCACAAATGCAGCACTGTTTACAACAAAAATGGAAAAATACCCACGATCACTTCTTTCAGTTGAGAAAGACCTAATTTACTGATGAACATATTATAACTAAACAATGTGTTTGTTAAGGATATGGAAGACTGACAGTCTCTGACCCTTAGCTTCACACAGACCCCTGAAAAATATCCCTCTCTGCAATGGGAGACTTGTTAGTGGGCAAGGTCATTTTCATAGCGACGTAAATAGAAATGAGGGTGGCTGAATCTACCCAGATTCGAAAATGGAAGGGTGTTCTTGCCTCATGCAGAGAGAAACTGTCCTTTTTTGTTTGTGCTGCTTGGGAAGCCTTTAGAGATGACCAGAAGCAGTCACACTGCTGTGAGCAGCAAGAACCAAAGAATCCCTGTATCCTTCTGTTCAGTAGTGAGCTGTTCCTTTATTCTCTGTCCTGGACCTTGCCTCCTCTTTGTCTTCCTCCTCCTCCAAAGGGGCCTTCTCAGAGGCCAAGGCTGGGCAGAGTCCAGCCAATCTGTCAGGTTTGGCAGGGCATATGACAGAGAATTTACCCAGGTTTCATACTTGTGTAACAAATTCCTCTCAGCAGCTGAAGGCCAGAGGATTTCTCAGCTGGCACAGAGTTAGAACTCGGTACAGATAGTGCCTGCTCTGGCCTAAAGCCTCGTGTGACAGGCAAACCTGAACCAGCACAATCGCTGCGTGCTCCACCAGCTGCTTCTGATCTGCAGCAAAGGTGTTTCTTACCCCTCTTACAGGGCAGGTTCTGACTCTCCTGAGGCTATGTGAGTGTGGCTGAAGGACTTTCAAATGCTTGAGGTGCAGCACAGACCCTGTAATCCCTCTCTTGAAAAGCTTGTCAAGCCCTGCATGTGGAGAATGCCTTGGCTTCAGCTCTTGCTCTGCCACAGCACAGTTTGGCCAGAGACAAGCTGCACCTTCTGAAGAAACAGTTCATGTTTGGAAGAAGGAGGAGCATCCTTTTGGTGCACTTAGGAGCACCAGCACAGCGCTGTGGCCTTTTCCTTGTGCTTGAGAGCACACCACATGTGTGCACCTGCAGGACAGGGCACATCTGCCCTGTGATTTCACACTGCAGATCCCTGGCTTTCTCGTGTGACCCCCTGCATAAATGACAGATCCTCAATGCCTCAGCCTCCACTGCTGTTAAATGTCCCTCTGTGAAAATGGAACAGATTGAATTGTTTCACATTTAATTTCACCCTTCCCCTAAGCACTCACCTTCTCCATGCGGGTGTGTCACTGGTGGTTCCTGGCTGTCAAAGCTGTATCCCGAGCCACTGCCTCTAGGAGAGGGGACAGAGCAGTCCCTGCAGCCAGGCCATGGCAGGGGTTCTCTGCACAGTTCCAGGGTCCTGGGCTGCACTGCTTGGCCTCCTCAGGCTGCAGAGGGTCAGACAGACAGACAGCCGTGCTGTGTGAGCCCTGTGAGAAGGTACCAGCTATGTCTGGGCAGACAGAGTTAAAGAGAGGTAAAAATGTTGGTCTACTAAGAGATGTCTCAGGGCTAGAGTCACTTGGACTGAGACCAAAGTCCTTTAAATAGGAGAGTGCTTGATTATTCAGCTGGGCATATTCAAAATTGATCTTGCTTTGAGTAACCTCATCTAGGATTTTTGCTCTGCTTTTCTGATCTTCAGAGCAAATTTGCTCCCCATTTGGCTTCAAATGATACAGACTGCTAGACTGGAAACTTGTCTCATAGTTGTATTGGTTTGTGCTAGGAATGAGGGGATATTCTGGAATTTGAGCAATGCAGCTGCATTCATTGTGCAGCAATAACTTGTTTTTGTACTGAGACATCTTATGAATGATACTGTTCATTTCATTCCCAATGTATTTGTCTTCCAGGTGCTTGTTTTCATAGCTGATTTTTAATGATGCCACCTGTGTTACACAGTGCTCTAAGAGCTGCACTATGTTAGTGCTGCTCTCTGTTGGTGTGGGGCTCATGTAGCTCTGGAAGTGATTGAGGGTTAGAGGCTGCGCTGGTTTGTCACAGGAAATAGAGTGATACATTAGTTTATTTCTGTCTTCCCTCTCAAGGGGATCTCGGAGTGAGGTCGCAGCAGTCTTGTAGGAGTAACATGATTCTACTTCCTGATTATCATCTAATGAAGGATTTTCAGAGCTTTGGGAGCCACTGTCTCTGTTCAGCTTTTCTGGCACTGGGTTTTTATCTCGGGCTGTCTCACATCCCAGGGAAACTGCTACCTTCTCATTTTCAGTTGAAGATGTCTGCAGATTGTCTCTGTTAGCCTGTGATTGTGGTGCATAACTTGATGATCTGGTGGTTTCCACAGTCCCGGGCACTGTAGATAAGTCCGTGTGGTGACTCCCTTCTCTTCCTTGGAAATCCAGATCAGATGAGTCCAGGTTGTCGTCTCTTCCAGCAATGTTTACTGAAGAGGCCTGGGTTGCACGTTTGCTTTGCTCCAACGGCATATATACCTTAAATGTATTAGATTCACCCTTGCCTGGTGCCTCCTGCTGAGCTTCTGTGCTCCCTTTCTGCTCTGGACTGTGACTGGACAGGATCAATGAATCATTAGATTTTTCTGGCTGTGGTTGAGGACTCTGAAGGGAGTCAGGGGAGGGGATGAGTCCCGAGTGTTTTCGTAGCCAGTTTATTATCCCCATGGTCAGTGAAAGCTCAGTATCACAGAGCTTTAGCAAACATTCTTTGCCTTTCCATGTGCTGTGAAAAAAACCCTGGCTAATGATGTCTAGAGTTGGTTGAGAAGCCATGTTCTCCTCAGCTCCAACATGAAAGCTGTAAATGGACAAAGGGATTTCAATGGCTTGCTCTGAAACACTTTCAGAGGCACACAAGTCATCATCAAGGATAGGGTTTACTTTGACTTCATTTGGGTCATAGAAGAGCTCATAAAGGGCATCTCCACTGTAGCTGTCTCTTGGAAATCTACCTGGGACACCAGGGGTCTGAGCTTCCTTCAGTTCATCATCTTGTCCAGGAGAGAATGAATCATAGTAGCCTTCATCACTCGTGGATGTGGATTCCTGGTTTTCACTTTTCGGTGTTTCTGTTTCTGTGGAGCTGGCTTTGGAATTGTCACCTTCTTTATCAGGTGACACTTGGGGGTCTGTGACCAGTACAGCAGCCTGACTTCTATCCTTTTCTGTGTCAGAGCCAGGTATCTTCAGTAACTTCTTTTCAAAGAGAGCACTCTGATGCAGCCTTACTGATTTGTTGATGTTGTCCCAAAACTTTGCAAATTCCACTGTCTCATTCTGGCCAGGAGAGGCCAGCTGCTCCACCCCACCTTGGAAGGAGCCCATGCCAGAGCTGTCTTTGTGCTTGCTTCGCCTCAGCAGAAGGTCTTTGCTGTTCTCCAGCTCCAGGTGAGCAGAGCTCTCATCAGCAAAGATTTCCCCACAGCCAGTGAGGGAGTCGAAGCTCTTCAGGGAGGCAACATCTTCACACAGGGCATTGCAGTAGTCGTAGGAGGAGTCAGACTGCAGTTCACTGTCTGAGCAGTCCTGTGACAAGCAATCAGCTGCACAAGTTTCTCCAGTTTTGAAAAGATACTTTGCTAGACGTCCAGATAACTCACTCTTGCAGCCTGGAGAGGCTAGGTTTTTGTCCTTCTCCACCAGAAATGAGAAGCTGTCTGGTTTATTTTTTCTTATATGAAATATATCTCTGAGCCCTTTCTTAGATCTCTTGAGGGAAATCCTCTTCCTGGGAATAGTTTTTGCAACAGCTGGTACAAAAGGCATCTGTGGCACAAAGTTCCTGTAATCGATCATCTGACTGCTGCACGCAGACTGGCTGGGGCTGACCACACACTCCTTCTTACTGCTGGAGCTGGACATCCCTGAAAAGCTGATGCTATTGACAAGTCGGCCCTTGCCCTTCCCAACAAAGCCCTCCTCACAAGCCCTGCTGCTGGGGCTGCAGTTCTCTGCTTTGTCCACCTCAGCAACGCAGTCATGGGTTTTACTCTTCCTTACAAGCTTGTAGGAGGAGCCAGATGATTTTTCCAGGTTGTGACCACCAGCCCCGTTCCTTGCTGCTCTGGTAGAAAATCTGTAGTTCTTGTGTGTGGCCAAACATGCCAGCTGGACTTCAGCCACACTTTGGTTTCCCTCCAGAGCTGCCTTTTTGTCTCTGCCCATCTCATCTTTGTTGGTAGGAGCTGCATGTACTGGTGGCACTTTCTCATGTTGCACACTGGATTTTATGAAGGTCTTTCCTCTCTTGAGCTCCATACTGCTTCCTCACATCTGTTTCTGTAAAGAAAACAGCAGAACACAACTATTGTGAGGTTGGTAGGTAGTGCTTGCAAATTTTGAATGCAAATGGAGAACAAAAGAAGGGACATTAGGCATTATAAAATTGAGCTTCTCTGCCATCAGATATTTCCATCAATGAGTCATGGTACTGCATGAGAAACAGATTGAGTGAAACTAAGGGTGTGTTGGCTTGAAGATTCAACATGGAGAAAACAGTGCACATTATGTGTTGGTAGTTGAGGCTCAGGGAATATTTTGTCTATTAGAAATAAACAGATTTGCATTGAGGATTTTGACTTCAGGATGGCTTTTAACAAGGTAAAAGTCTTGTTCTGAAGGTAGAAGAGGCATCAATGAAAAGCAATGCCTGAGAAACTTAACATGCAAATGTGTGTATCAGGTAGGCAGAAGTTCTTAGAAGAGGACAAAAATCTTAAGCTGGGAAATCTCCTGAGAAAACAGATCAAACTTTTGATACACAACACTTACTTTATATTAAAATAATCCTTATCTGTGAATAGAAAACCCATAAACCTTGGTACTACGCTGGAAACATGCAGAGACTGAATTACTGATTTTGCTCCCCTCTGAGTATAATATATCATTTTCTACACTGCTATTTTTATTGTCAAAAATCAAAAATGCCACATTGAAAATCATTGTTAGTCATGACAAAAGTGTCATCTCCAATTTATGAAGACCAGTGTAACACACAGAGACACTGCCATATTGAGTCTGCACTATGCATTGATTAGCTATTTCTAAAAATACTCTAGTATCTGTATCAATGCCAGTTCCAGGCTCTGCCTATATAGTTTAGTATTGAACCTGTTTTATGTTTTCATAAATCTAAGTAGTCATTAATTATTTTAGCCATGTCCCTTCCAGTTTTCTTTTTTCCAGTTCTTTTGTAGAAAAATCTGATCCTTTCCTGTCATGCATCAACTTGAATATTGAGTAAGTCAATGGATTTCATAAAGGTAGGTCAGGGATGAAGCAAGAACTGCCTAAAAGCTGTTGGACCAACCAAAGTTTTACTTGATGGGAAACAGCAGAATAACTCCAACTCCTGTTCTTGAAAGAACATGCTTGGATCTCTCCTATATGAAACCTCATTTAATGATTTATCTTGTTTTGAATTGGTTAGATATAACTAAACAACTGGAGTCACTGAACAGAAGATTTTAAATTCAGCACCAAGCCTAGGCTTTGTACTCCTAAAATAGAACCTAAAACAGTCTTCAGGCTATTGTGAACTGTAACAGCTGTCTGTAGCCTCCAGAAGCTTTCCAGTTGCCAGGCCTTGCTGGAACAGCCACACTCTGACCATCACCTCACAAGCTGCAGGACTGTCTATTTGGGACCACTTCTCCAGCAGGCAGGTCACTGACAGCGCCCTTCTTCTAGAAGCTGCAAGCTAAAAGGTGATTAGCAATATTTACAAATAAATGTAGGTCAGTGACAAAAGGTAGAGAACATAAGGGCAAAGTGTGAATATTTGACATGTGTTGGAAACATGGTGGGTAGTGATAGATGGGCGTCTATTATTGTGATTAAGATGTTGGCACATTCATTTCTACTTGGCACTCCTTGTGAGCGTTACAGAACATTCTTAATGAAAGCCAGTAAACATTTTACTACCCTGTCAGCTATCTGGAGTTCACTGATGCTGTGGGAAACTTGTTTTGCATATTTAGAAATAGGTCACTGGGACACGATTACACTCCTCTTCTGAAAAGCAAGGTGTGATCGACAAGCAATTCAGAACTCCAGCAGGGTTGTGAAAACAATCAGAAAAAGCTGATGCAAGACCAGCTATTAATGTCCCAGAAACAGTGTCTGACACCTCGGTCCTTTGCAAGTGCAGAAATAGGTACTGTGTCCCTGTGTCCCTGATGCTGCCAAGAAGCTCCTCAGAGGTCTGTGACATTGGCAAGTACCAGCCTTACAACAATGTTATGTAAGACTCTTTGAAGTCCTGTAGCTTTTTCTGCCCATTCTGAGTATTGAGCAAAGGTCACTTTTGTGGGATATTGCATACTTGGGAACTTTTCCACAGATGCATTAAAAAGGCTTTGGGGGATGGATTTATTTACTGTCAAGTATGCAATATAGTAAAGCTAAGAATTTAGGATGAAATTAGGTAATCTTTGGAATAAAGTAAAGTTTGGTCTGAATTGTATCTCCCTGATAAGAAACGCAATGGAGGACCAGTTTGATAACTGGGTCTAGAAACTTCAAGGTTTGTTCTGTCTTTTTTTTTTTTTTTTTTTTTTTTTTTTTTTTTTTTTTTTTTTTTTTTTTTTTAATAGATTAGATGAGCAGTTTTATCTTGAAGCCAAAATGGCCAAAGTAACATATTTACTGAGAATATCTGTAGCATAATAATGTAAGATACACTGATGGTAGCTGATGCTGCCTTTTCAGTTTCTTCTGATGAGGAAAAAAGTGTTAGCTGTTGTTTTGGTTTTGTGGGGATTTTGTAGTTTGGTTTGTTTGGTTTGGTTTTGGTTTTGTTTTTAATCTACAATATATATATCTAATCACTAAATTTGTATTCTAATTATTTAATGTTACTATTTATTCCCATATATTCTATTTCTAATACTCCCTCAGGATTCATGCCAGACTTATATCTAGTTCATTGTGCCATCCTGCTTATTCTAAGACTGTCATATCTTTGTAAAACTTCCCCATTAAAAATGTTATTTAAAATGAACAGAGGAAAGGGAGGACCTCCTCAGTCAACTCTTTGAGGGCTCCTCAGGACAAACTACCAGAGTCTGCAGATTTTTTAAAACATTCTTCTTAGATGCTGTTTTGAAACTTCCCATAATCTGAGTTCCTTTTCATACTCAGGTGATGTAAACTGTCAATGTACTTCTTTCCAAAAATAGACCAGAAATATTTATGTGATTATTCTGTCTTTCTATATCTATTAATACTTTTAGCCCTTTTTGTTGGAATGAAATATACCATGATACCTTTTTTTTTTTTTTTTTTTTTTTTTTTTTTTTTTTTTTTTTTTTTTTTTTTGGTCTCTGCTGGGACACAAGTTCTATTTCTAACCCCAGAAGCAGTACCAGTGAAGTAAGGAACAGGCTAAAGTGCTGTAAAGGAAAGTTACCCTCCAGTAGTTACATAAAGCTAAATCAAAATTCTATGAAAAATTATTACAGACATTTAAAACATAGTACATTTTTATAGGATTTCTTGACCCATGCACTCAGCCTGTCTTTGTTTCTTTTCAGGATATCACTTTTTCCACAGGGATAAAAAATATATGAGGGCCTGATTTCCATCTTTGTAAAGGAAATACAACTTGCAATTAAAAGTCACTGTAAAGAACAGAAACCAGTGGAAACTAGCAGTCAGTGTACTGAGAGTCTCAATGTTTTCTTCATTAATAACAAAATGGTTTTTTACTATCTGCAAAATTGCTTATGGAATGTGTATAAATAGAAGACATCCTCAAATCTTGCACTGGGCTATAGTTTAGTTGCCTTTTACAAGAAGATTGGGTACAGCAGCAGCACTGAGGCTTCCCATCCACAGTTAACAGTACTTTTTATCTGGCTTGATCAGATCAGCTACTCACTTTTAGGATTTCACAGGTGTCTAAGCAAGCAATTAGACATGGATTTGAGGCTGATACCAAATGGTAGTAAAGTTTTCTCTTAAATTTGGATAATATTGCTCATAAAATGCAGAGTTGCTTCATGCTCAAACGTATACCATCTGTGCAGGGTGTGTCACAGCCTTTTCAGAAAATCAGGAGGTTTTACTGCATCTGTGATTCATCTGAAAGTAAATTAAAGTTTTAGAATGGAAAGATGAACACATTCCTGTGGGCTGAGGAGACTTGATTTTAGGACAATCAAAGCAATTGCTTCTGGATCTGGGTTATGAGGACCTTAGCAAGACTCAGGTAACTGTTCTGGCTAATAAGAGCCATATTCAGATGGCCTAAATCATCCCTAAGGCCAACATACAAGGACCAAAGAGGAGTGCAATGGAGCCAGATATTCATTAGGAAAATGGGTGGAGGCAGGATTTAAACTGTGCAGATGTTGCTTCTGTCATGTCAGTCAAAGAGAAGGGTCACATTTGCCTCTGCCCATGGCCCCAGCACTTTCTGCCAGCCAACTACAAGTTTCCCTCTGTGGGAGAATGTGAGAGAGCCTTACTATGGGTTTTTGGCTGGGTCAAAGTTGTATCTTTCTAGTTTATAACTCAGCAGAAAGGTTTGTTTAGGCCATCTTCAAAGAAAAGGTAAAACATCAGTCCTTTTGCATGTAATTCTAGGAATACCATTCTACTGGGAAATAGAGGTAACTGTTTCAGTGAGGTTGTATGTATAGAAATAATACTATTACAAAGAGGAAATTTAGATAAAGTCTCCAGCTTTGGCAAGTTTGGCTCAAAATAATTTTGCTCAAGTAGGAAAAAATGTAATTGAGGTTCATTTATTTCAAAATCTTACCAGCTATCCAGTTTGGACTTCTCTTACTTGCTTGTTTGATGTGTAATTTATATATAATCATCTCTCTTGGAGATAGAAATAGGTTAAATTCAGAATGTAGTGATTTTGAAGGGGAGATAGGAGGGTCCTTTCTTTACATTTAGATTACTCTTACAATTGGCAAATTGTGGTGCCATGCTGTCTCTTGCTAAGCAGAGTTCTGCATATCACTTGGCACCTGAATTTCACCTGCCTCCAAGCATTTTCCTTTTATTAAATAAAAAGTTGATAAACATTGAATAGTCTTTCAGGCTTTTTAATTAAAAAATAAGGAACAACGTCTCTTTGTACTGCTTTTATGTTTTCAGATACAAGTTTGGAGTGAGTCCAAAATTCCTTTTCCACAAGTGGCTTCATCCCAGTCATACCTAAGATGCTGAGTATCAGAGGTACCTTTGAAAATGTTACCCTGCTTTTTAATCAGAAATTATAGCATAATTAAATTTCCTGAAAGCATCGCTCTGGTTTGGGTATATGGACATGCATTAAGATTCAGAGCCATGCCTTTTAAGATTAAATTTTTTAAAAAATATTTCTTGATAAACGATGTAATGGGAAAGGGGGGAAGAACAGAGCACTCTGGGAGGCTCTCCCGATTCTTAACCTCAGGAGGATTTTTACTGGCCACCAATTAGAAGTCCTAAAATGCACAAAACAAGCAAGCATGAGGTGGTGAAAGCCACAGCTACTTTTAAAGTCAGTGAACAACACTAATTTTAATCTTTCTTATCTAATCAATTAGCAGTGCATAAGGAACAGCTGGTGCTCCCAGTAAAGTGTGTAGTGGGAGGGAGATTTTTGGAATAAGACTGTTTATTTACAGGGAAAAATATTAACTCTCTATCTGAGAAGATGAAAGTGAATAATGGGAATACTTACTAATAATCATGAACATATATTCCATTCTGTTAATTTGATTTTTAATTGTGAAGCAGAATACGGCTTCCTTGCCAGAGGGTAGTGATATTCTCACTGCAGTTATTGTAACACTGTTTCTAGCAAGCAAATAAACGTAACAGCTCTTTTGGTAAAAAGCAAAGAGGATTTTAAAGCAGGGCTCATCTTCTCCCTTAAACTGATTACCCTGCTGCCATCTCATCTCCATTAGAAAGCAGAAAAGAAGAGGGTGGAAAGGATGGAGGATGTAATCAGGGACAGTCGTGATTCAGGAAGCAGCAGAATGTTTATTTTTAAAGGCGCCTGTGTGACACACAAACCTGCATTGAGATCATGCCTCTCTTTAGGAATACTCCTCTCATCATCCTTAGTGGCTGTATCTTATCATGCCCCTTAATCATTTGTCTCTCTCGGGTAACCCAGGATGCCCAATTATTTGCATGTACATTTAGGTCAGGCAATGGCTTTCTCATGAAGAACCAGCAAAAAGCATATTGGTGTGTTTTTAATTCAATCCTCATTCCACTGAGCACACAAAGTAAAATCTTACACTCCCCAGCAGGATACTAGAAAGATGTGTAGTTAAATGCTTAATCTTATTAGCAATGTGCTATAGGGAAGCCTGAACCTCCTTTTAAGCCCTGACAACTGTTTTGTGGAGCTCAGGATTTTTCATAGTAAAATTAACCACGTTTCTACTCCTAGCTCACTGTCCTGCTGTGTGCTGACAGGAGGGATCCCTGGCAGCACAGCAACACCCAGTGCTTCCCCAGCCCCATCTGGGATGCTCACAGCATCCCCCAGCCCCATCTGGGACACCCACAGCATCCCCAGCCACGCATGGGGTGTGTGGCAGGGCAGAAGGAGGCTGAGCCCATGACAAAAGGAGGCTCTTTCTCTGACAAAACCTCTGCACCCCTCTCTCAGTTTTCTACTGTACCTGAGGCTGAAAGAAACGTAACTGGCTTGAAATGTTCCGATTACATCATGTAAAAGGGCAGCTTTAACTCCTGCGCAGGGAGCTTTCAAATCGTCGCTGCACTGCTAAGAGAAGGCAGCAGAGCAGAAATCTCCACTGCATACCTGAGAAGGAAACAGGGCTTTTTTTCTTGCCCTGACCCAGCAGCCTGTTGGTACCAGACAGCAAAGTGTTAACACTGACAGCTTTGGCTCTCCTCAGTAATTTATTGCTTTAAAAGGAGATGGGATGTTCATTTTTATAAACGCAGGCACAGACTTGCCATATGTATGGAAAAAGAAGTAAAAAGCAATGCTTCAAAAACAAGCAGTCATTCCAAAATAATACTCACTCAGAGTCGCTGTGTCAGAGCAAAAGAAATGCCATTGCAATTGCACAGAGCAAACGAGGCAGATCACAAAAATCCTACTCACCATGTTTTATCACTGAGCAGAAATCCTCTGTCTCCTAGCCTTGCTCCTGAAGCTGGTCTTTATCCAGGCACTCCTGTGATGCTTTACAGATTCTGAGGGGCTGGACCACTGCTGCTCTCCAGTGTTACTCTCCACCCCCTGTCTTTTCCTCCTCCTTCTTCCTTCATCCCCACCCCCTCATTCCTCCAGCTTGTAGCTTTTTCGTACCTAACATAGATTCTAAGCTTCCACATGGAGCTTGATATAGGAAAGATTCTTATTTCAGCCATCTGCTCGATGCCACAGAAATGCCTCCTTTGCTTTAGGAATAAAAGCAAGGAGGTGAGCTCGGGAGTTTCTGAGCCAGCATTTTGGTTCCTCTCTATATAACTGCTTATTAAAGAGAGAGGAATACATCTGAATTAATTTCATTTCTCACATGTTCTTTTGTTTCAGACTAGGATTCAGGAAAAGTGATCTGAATGTGTTTTGGTTAGTGTGATGCTTCACTGGCAGTGTATGCAGGCTATTGGACTGTGCCACCCTTTGTAGAGCTTGAGTGAAAGCTGAAATTAGAAGGGATTTCATGTGGAAACAAAGTGGTGTGAGGGGAAAGAGTGACTATTTCAGCTGCCCAAGGCTGGAGTGCCTGTTGTTAGCCTCATTCTGCCTTCAACAAAAATCATTTACCAAATTCTCCTTTCAGTCTAACTTCTGCTTCAGTGTGCAGCAATGGCAAGATCTGATGTTACAACATCATTCTCTGTTATATAGATGAGTTTACTACCATCACAAACACCAGGGCTCTAATTTCACAGAAGTGTAAAGCTGGTATCTTTCCCCCAGCCCTCTCCACTTGAAGGGCTCCCAATCTGATCATACCTTGATTGTCCCATTGATTCCTATCGAAGTCCTTTACATCAGCCTCTCCAGGCCTCCTGCTTGTTGAAACACCTCTGCTGGGGGCATAATAGGAGCCTCTTAAAAGCCAGAGTGGATGCCATGAAGCAGTGGCTTAATCCACTTCAGCAGCTCTCCTGTGAGTTTAGAGCTGCACTCAGGATAACGCGGCAGTCGTTGAGGACTGGTGTCTGCAGGGGAGCTGCCCTCCTGATGCAGGGGCTTCTTCACAGCTGCTCTAGGGCAGCAAACAGGCAGCTCTTGGATGGCTGAAACACACAAGTCCAATCCCTGGAGGCATTCAGAAAATCTCCAGCTCTGCATGAATACGAGCATTCCCTCGCAACTGGAGCAGGTGCATCAGTCAGAGAGCTAATCTCTACTGTCCCCACATCACAGCAGAAAGGGAACAAAAGCCTCAACCTGCTCCCTGTTCTCATCTTCCTTTTCATTGTGTGCTTTTGCTGAATCTTGGAGAGAGGGGAGAAAAGGAGCTTGAACTTTTGTGCTGTCTAAGCTTCTAAAGCTGGAAAATCAGCCTGTTAACTTTAAAGCCTGCAAAACAGAGTGCTCCTGCTCTGAATGTCAGAACCACTCAGGTGTCCCTGATGGTGGAGATGGGAAAATTTCATCTTGGGGAAAACCCCTGGGTTAAATCTAACCCACAACATGTAGAAAGCCTTTGTGTGACTTTACCAAGAGACTGGCGGGAGGAAAGAACAGGTTGTGGGTGAATCCTAGTAGTTCTGGCAAGTAGATTAAGAACAATCATGAGAAGAAACACCTTAATTAGAAATAGATTTGGTGGGTTTTATTCTGCATGAGATATTAATTTTAATATAGAAGGAAGCCTTTCTTCATGAGTGATATATGAAGCCACCAAATTTTCAGGTGGCACTTCATTGCTCTGCAGTGATGTAGCTTTTGAGTGCCTCCCCTTTGTTTTGGAAAGAGGAGGCCTATATGAGGCTGAAGTCCTTCTTACAAGCCAAGTAACACCAAAGCTTGTTAGAAGCGCTTACAGACATGAGAATCAATCAGAGGTCACAGCTGTCACCTGTGCCCAGGTGGCCAAGAAGGCCAATGGCAACCTGGCTTTTATCAGCACTAGTGGGGCTAGCAGGACCAGGGCAGTGACCATCCCTCTGTGCTGGGCACTGGTGGGGCCAAGCTCAAGTACTGGTGTTGGGCCCCTCACCTCAATGGTGAGAGGCTGGTGTGTGTGCAGAGAGGAGAATGGAGCCGAGGAAAGGGCTGGAGCACAAGTCTGATGAGGAGCAGCTGAGGGAGCTGGGGGCGTTTAAGCTGCAGAAAAGGGGGCTATGGAAAATCTTCTCACTCTCTACAACTCCCTGAGAAGAGGCTGCAGCCAGGTGGGGCTGGGCTCCCAGGTGAAAAGGGATTGGACAGGAGGAAATGGCCTCAAGTTATGCCAGGGAAGGGTTCAGATTAGATATTAGGAAAAAATTATTTACCAAAAGAATTGTCAAGCATTTTGGAGCAGGCTTCCCAGGGCAGTGGTGGAGTCCCCATCCCTGGAAGTGTTCAAAAAGCATGCAGATGTGGCACTTGGAAATACAATTTAGCCATGAGTATCATGTTGGTGATGGGTTATTGCTTGGTCTGGATGGTCTTGCAGGTCTTTTCCAGCCTTAATGATTCTGTGATTCTGGTGCTGGTATTGTCTGATCAAAACTAAGAGCTTAGATTTTTTTATTTGAAAGTTATTTCATACAATTTCCGAGCTGAGTTTCTGAACACTGAAGTGTAGGCATTAAAGGTAAAAGCATCAGAAAAGATATACCCAAATATGCCATGTGAAGAAGGATGTGGGCAACAGAGAACACTTAAAATTACATTCAAGGCCTATTTCATGTTCAAACTGAGCACAATAAAATGAAGACATGGAGAAAATAACTTGGGCAGAGAGGAGCTCTTACCTCCATCACTGTTTTAGGTAGCTTCCATACATGCAGTCTCTAGAACACCCTGTTGCTGTTCCTCAGGAACTGGGAAAGGTCTCATGTCATGTCCCCATTTTCTAACAAATGGCAGCTGTTGTCCCTGTGCTGCAGGAGTTAGAAGGGATCAATGTAGACCTGGATGAGATACCCAAAACTGTTCTTAGAGATTCATGTAAAGCATCTTCTATGATGAGAGATCTCCAGGTTTTAGGATGTTTCCTTTGGACAGAAATTTCCAGCTTTAAAGCCTTTTATTTCCCTTCTTCATGAGTAGTAGCTTAAATCCACCAGCCATCCATTGGCACAGCTATCCATGGCCATAACCTGCATGAACCTAAATCATGGTATCCCTGTACACACTGGTAAATGCACAGGATGCTGGCTAGCAGCTGATCCATGGTAGCCCTAATGCATTACAGCAGAGCTTTTTTTACTTCCTAGGTAGTCCTCAACTTGCAGTTCCCTCAACATCCTTTTCTGCTGTCACTTCATTTCAGGCTATTTCACCATGGCTGTTGATCAGCTTCACTCAAAATGTTGGCAATTGGAGAACCTAATCATCCTCTCTGATTAATTCTGACTCATTCAGTCTGTCCAGAATTGTTCGGGGCATCACTGGGCATAAAAGGGAAGGGAAATCAAAAACCTGTAAATGAGGGGGCTGTGGCACAGCTGCCATGTATTTAGCAGATGCACACAGCCCTTGGCATGGTGAGTAGGAAGAGGGCTCTTGAGGGAAGAGGGACTAAGGGATGCACAGTTCCTGGTGAGGGAAGAGTGGGGTGGCAGGGATCCTTGGGGAAAGGAGGAGGAAAATCCTCATGAGGGGCAGTATGGAAGCACAGGGAGGGAGTTTTTAGATGAAGCAGGCCCAGACTCCCAGAACATGTAAGCCTGAGTCTCCTCATGGTGAGTAGGAAATGTTTGCATCCAGTGATTAAAGACAACTATTAGCATAAGCAACTCATAAAAGGCAATCTATATAACTTTTTAATTTCCTGCCATGGAAGAATGTAGCAGATTCTTTAACCCTGAGACTCAGAACTAAAGTGTTTGCTGAATTAGCTGTATTTGTTTCCAAGGAATTGCTTACAGACTGAATTTGATCCAGGCTATTTCCTACTGGTGAACTAATGAAGAGTCTAATATCCCCAATCCAGTTTCTGCTAACATCAGGTTAAACTTAATTATTCATGGATTCTTATCAGTGTTTCTTAGGTTTGCATGTCGAAGAGAACTGGTAATGGGATATGGAGCTTTTTCTGTCCAGATTGCTAGCAGGAGCCTGCCCTAGGTTGAAGGGAACAATCTGACTGCTTCCCAGGGCTTTCATTAAGTTAATTGCCACTCTCTTCTCAGTTGCTTGGTGAGCTAGTGTATGCTGCAAATTTTAGAATCATGAATTGCTTTTAATAACATCAGTACTTAGCAAAGGAAATGAAAAGATTCTTATCCACAGATATCTGCAAGGGTACTCAGTTTCAACATCTCCTGTTTGTCTTCACTGTCAGGCAGTGACATTTCCATATTTGCAGCCAAGGGGATGATGAGGCGCAGCAGGTAGAGTCACCAGAGCAAATTCAAGTATTAAAAAGCTTGGCTGTGCTGCCTCCCAGGACCAATAATGATGCCATCAGAGACAGGAAGGAGTGCCCAGTGCCTCCAAAATGGGACTGATCACAGCCTCATCCTTGCTATCCTGGGAACCCTGGGTGACTGATTGTAAACTGCTTGTGGACCCAAAGAATTTAAGGGGCTTTTGAGGAAAAAAAGGAAGTACTGAAGACATTTCTCCAGCTGCTTGTGTTGGAGTCATGACTGCCCTTAATCTTTCTGCTTTAAACAAAAAGCTCTTGAGTAATAAATATTTGTCTATAAAATCAGTATGGAAAAATTATCTGCATTATATGCTATGAAGAACTATGTCAAAAGAATTGTTTCACCAAATAATGAAAAACTCCAAGGCTCTAGAGACCAGAGAAAACATCTGGGAGAGACAAGAAACTTCAGGGACTTGAATACAGAAATATTAATATACAAGACAGATTTTCAGAAGCTTTTTCCTTCCAGATATGTTTATGTGTCATAGACATCTGTCCAGATGAGTCAAGAATACCTCCAGTTTATTGAACTGCATTAACAGGCACTGCTGTCTGAAAGGCAAAATAAGTATTCAGCATAAAGCATGAGAATGGCAAAATGTGCTATTCCACAACCATCCCAGTGCCACCTATAAGCAAAAATTTCTCAGCTCTGCTGAGGAAGATGCTGTTGTGTTGCCTTGAGAGAAGGTTATAGGAAATATTTTATTAG